CCGCGGCGGCGCAGGGGAGGCGGGAGGGAACGCCGGGGTGGGAAGGAGGAGGCGCGTCCAGGGCGGGGAGAAGGACGCGCGGCCGAGGCGGGGAAGCGGAGGGGCGACCGAGGATGGAGCGGCGTGTCGCGGCGCGGCGGGAGGGCGGCCGGATCCGGGAAGGGGGAGCTGAAAACTCCCTCCCGCGCGTCGTTGGCGAGGGAACCAGGTCGGGGAGGGGTTGGGCTGGCCAACCCCTGTTTCTACAGGCTGGGAAAGAGAATAGGGGTTGAGCCCCTAAATTTTTTTGAAGGTTTAAGAGTTAAGAGGTTTTATTCTTTGGGAATTTTTCGTCTCAACCCGTAAAAATGCGGTTTTTTTTAGGATTTGAGGGTTTAGGGGTACTACTAGAAATGTTCTTAGGCTTTGTTTGGTAAAAGAGAATTGGTAAGGTTTGGGAATCTTCTACCACACAAACTACTACTCCTTTCGTTCAAAATCACTTGTCACAAAAATAGATGTATCTACAACTAAAATACATCTAGATACATTCATTTCTTGAACGAATAATTCCAAACGGAGGAAGTACTTACTACTATTTCTACTTGCAGATACGCAGAGTCAACAGCAGAGATACATCAGCCAGCCACAATCGTCACAGCAACCAACCCATCAACACTCCAAGAGGAGGTGAACTTGGTGAATAACATGACAATTAATTCAATCTGAATAACAGCCACTATCAGCACCAATGTTACAAGATGACAGCACACATCTAACTACAGCTCACCTCTTTCGACGAGGAGAGGAAGAGGAACACACACAGCTAGCTACACAACACCCAGCTAGCTACAGAACGATTATTAGCCGAATTCTCGAAAATACTGTGCATATGTTGCTTCCCAAGCTAAACCAAGATCACGGATGAGATTTTAGCACGATTGTCATAAAATGAGTTTGGTTTGATCATCCTTAGACGAGCACTATCATCAACAACATTATTCTCTCTTGCGGATTTGGTCTAATCCGATCGAATAAACATTTTCTTACTTTCAAGCTCGACCACATTCATGGGAAAAGGATCGCTATCGAGCTTCATCTTAGAACCTTCTGTGAACGTCAATCGTCCTTCATTAATGACCGATTGCACCTGTCGGCGAAACACATTACAATCATTAGTACCATGAGAAAAAGAATTGTGCCACCGTGAGCCAAGGGACAGTCTCAGGTAGACAGTTTCTATGGGACGTTGGCCTCCCGAAAGGTAACGGAGGCGTGCAAAGGTTTCCTCGGACCAGACAGACATTGGTCCTCGAGTGCAAAGGCAGAAGGGAGCTTGACTGCAAGACTAACCCGTCAAGCAGAGACGAAAGTCGGCCTTAGTGATCGGACGGTGCTGAGTGGAAGGGTCGTCGCTCAACGGATAAAAGTTACTCTAGGGATAACAGGCTGATCTTCTCCAAGAGTCCACATCGACGAGAAGGTTTGGCACCTCGATGCCGGCTCTTCGCCACCTATTTGTATAAATGTTTCGCCGTATTATTAAGTATTCTCCTTTAGTTTTTTTCTCTATCTAGAAGTGGAATAGAATAACCCGGTTGAAGGGTAATGATCATACGTCTTTAATGCATTGTATGGCCCAGAATAGATCCTATTCTTCTACCTTTTCCAGGTAGTCGATGGCTATTCACAACTACCACCTTAACACCAAAGATGAGTTCGTTCCCTATTATCCTTTTTTGATTTTTTCCAAATGAATAAAGCAGTTGGAATTTTGGAAATGACAATGGGTATATTTATTACATTAACTAAAGCTTATTTATTTCTCTTATTTCTATCACAATAAGATGGACTTTACCCAGGATGAGAATGGATCAATTATTAAATCTTGGATGGAAATTTCTTTTACCTATTTCCCCGGGCAATCTCTTATTAACAACCTCTTCTCAACTTGTTTCACTATAAATAAGATAATACAATAATAGTAAGAATATTTTCAACACAAAAGCTCTCTCAAACAAGAGAAAGAAACATACCTAAAGATACTTGACAATAGTATTATTGGAGTGGATACACAACTCAGAAAAAATACAAGAAGTCGACTAGGCGGACTGGTCCGAGTGAAGAGAAAAAAAAGTCATACGGAACTCAAAATATTTTCCGAAGATATTCATTTTCCTGAAGAGGCGAATAAGATATTAGGTGGCTGTTTGATACCGCCAGAAAGACAAAAAAAGATTCTAAGCTATTCTGCCTAATTCTTTTGGAGGTGGAATTACATGATCCTCTCTTACTCTAATTAATTTATTTTGCATTGACATATCAAAAATTCTATCGCACTTGCCAACATCAGAAGTGTATTTAATTTTGACTTTTCTAGTAGGTGTAGGTTTCAAAGCGGAACATGCAAAGGGCTTTGACTTTGGCGCTTGAACCCATTCAGCCACACGTATATTAACATCATCCTCACTAGCCGAATCACTATTATAATCTAAGACGTTAACCACATGGTTATCTTCCTCTTTATTTCTATTATCTTTAAACCGGCTATATTATTTAATTTCCTTAGCCCGGTTTTCCTACGCCAAAGCCTTACGCAAAACTTGATTAACATCTAATATCTTTTTTGCCCTTCTAGTTTATCCTTAATATGAGTGAGTAGACCCGAAACGGTAAGATCGGCTAAGTCCTTTTCGGCTATGGTCAAGCTGAAACATCGGTTTTTAACATCCCTAAACCTTCTAATATAATAATGAACATGCCCATTATATTTTTGCCTAACCATAGTTAAATAAGCCGAAGTTCTGTTTCACCGCTATAAAAATACTCATGAAATTTTTGCTCCAATTGTGCCCATGTTGAAATAGAATTACGAGCAAGCAATGTAAACCAAATAATAAATGCAGTACCGGATAAAGATAAAGAAAATAATTTTAATCTAAAAACATCCGATGTGCCGATCTCTCTGCATTGTGCTAAAAATTGTCCTACATGATCAAAAGTAGATCTACCATCTTCCCCCGTAATTTAACAAAATCTAGTCTTCTAAAACCATATGGTGTCGAGTCAAAGTAATCAGGGTATGGTTTTTGATATGCACGTGTTGTAACCTTAGGTTCTAAACCAAATTCTCAAAGTATACTAGCAAGTTGATCTTTAAAATTATCATTGGGCTATAGAGAACTGGCTTGCGGAGCAGATGGAACACAAGAACGTGGCAGAAACTCCGGAAAAGAAATTGAAGCATGCGAAGTTTGCAACGGAAGCCCACTAAAATATGAATCAGGTATCGGCCCACATGGAACCCCGGTACCGACAGACGGCAGTGGTGGTGTACTATATGCCACTGAGCGATAATTAGGTTGTTGCATATTAGAATTAAGCCCAAAAGTTCGGTCATTGCTATTTAGATTTTGTGGAACCGAAGTTAAAACAATAGGAGAAGCAACTAGGAGCCAAAACACCGCGTCCCTAGGAATAAAATTATTAGCCGAACTATCAACATAGTTCTGACCATCCAGATTATTGAGGCTGCATAGCGTTAGCCGATGTACTAGCCATATGTATATCACTTGGCACATTATTGAATCTCCTACTGTCTGATGGCATCAGTCTTTTTCCAGAATACCCATCATTGACTTGCATCACTAATGGGCGTACATGGCCAGGTAGACAATTTTCAAGATCTTTATTAAACTGCACCTTACAACATAAAATGATTTCCATTGGGTGGTACTTCTCGAGTACCCAATCTAGAGCTCCGGGGTGAAAACTTTGGTCTGGCCTAGTTGGTTATACCTGGCAATGGCGGCGTTCTTTACGTCATTACCCTGATGACGGCATTGCTCAGAGTTTGCTCAGATTTGCTCTTCAGGGTGAAAACCCGTGAGCCGACCCTTGGTGGTTGGATTTGGCGACGGTGGCGCTTGTGCGTCGTTCCCTTGTTGGAGGCGTCGCTTTTGAAGAACCCTTCTCGGAGTCTTTATGATGTCAAGAGATGACTGGGGCCGATGGTCACCATGGTACATCGTCAATCGTTGTTTTCATTGCTTCGGTTTTTTTCCCTCCGCCTAGGCATAGCTTTGGTCTTTGCATGATTTTGCCTTTGCCGGCGTGATCATTTTTGTGTGTGTGTGTTGTGCTGGTTGTGTACATCTTAGTTATGCAGAGGCCGGGTGTACCCATCATAATTGTATCCCTC